AATCACTGGGGAGAGAATACCCACTGCTTCCCCCAAAAGAGTACAGCGAATTTTACTGTTGAAAACGAAGATTTTGCGTGGGGTTTGCAAACGTTAATAACTTTTGATGGAAAGACTTTCTTTTTTCAATCAGGAATTCAAAGATGCCTTTCGTGCCTTCTAACACCTGTTGTTTTCATATAGGCCTTTCAGGGAAGCACCTTTCTTAAAATTTTTCTGTCTTCTTAGAGCAAAAAATCCCCCGAAGCGGGCAGAATGCATCGCGTCTGAGTTGAAAGTGGGGACGGGAAAAGCTGGGTGGACAGTCCCTTGGTAAGTGCGCGGAGTCTAACAATCTGGTGTAACTATTATTTTTTTTCCTGTTGGGCCCTTAAAAAAACACACACACACACAAACCTCACCTAGCATAATTCAAAATAACCTTTCTTATCATGCTAAATGTTTCGTTTCAGTTCCTGTAATATTTACTTGTTTCCCTACTCAGGGGGAAAAAGTCTGTCTCGATTTTAAGAAGAAAAAGATCTTTAAAGTTTCTAAATGTAAGAATTGTTCAAAAGTTCTTTCCCTCTCAAATCAGCATCCAGAAAAATATATTTACACATTCACTTCCATCTGGTGTGAGAGCAGAATTGCCGCTTTTGCTCAAAGGAGAAAGTTTTTGAAATGACACGAATCTATGTCTGTGCGTATTTTTAGAATTAAGATGCTTGTATTCACTGTCGTGGTGGGATTTCCTTCCAGGGGAATCTGCCATGGGGGATGTACCCCGTCAAGGGAGCATTTAAAGAAATTTTAATATCCAAACAAAAGCAGTATTACGGTTGCCCTCCACTCCCACCCCCAGAGGAAAAACAATTAATAATTTGCATATGCTCCTGACACAAATTAAAGACAAAGGGCCCCTCGCAGACTGTGGTTAACACGCAGCCCTCAGCAAGCTGCATTTGCCCCAGCCCAGCTCTGTTCTTGCTTTCAAATGAGTAACATTAAGCTCGATAACTAAAAATAGTGGTTTTGGGCCCTCTGGCCTAGTCCCACGGTAGAATCCTGTGTCCCCAATCAGAAACATCTCTCAATCTCTCCACCAGCTTCTAGGCAAAAAGAACGTATAGTTCCAAGGGGAAAAAATACGTATATACTTTGCCCTTTTTATTTTAATGGCCAAACATTGTAATGCTAGCTAAATAGAAATTCTTGTCGGTTAATAGGTTCCTTTAGTTTGTAATAAATAGGAATGCTAATGACTAAAATTTGGTATTTGGTATGCATTAGCTTTTGTGAGCTTTTCTTTACAGTCCTCATTGACATGCAATATGGCAAGCTTCCTTTGAAACATATTTATAAAATAACTACAGTATAATTAAACCAACAAAGCCATCTTTTAAGTAAGCTTAATAGCTTGGGGTTTTTTTCACCTCAGTAAAAATTTATTTTAAAAAGAAAAATAGTTATGCCTCAATCCCACTCTATATTTTATTCTGTGCATCTAATATTTCCTTTGCATCTACGATCTATGCATATCTAATTCTTTCTGACAACTATGATTACTAATAAAGTTCTCATGAAAGATATGCTTCATAGCTTCTTCAACAAGAATAATGTTTTTTTGTTAATGGAAATTGTAACATATCTTGACAGATGCAATACAGAAGATGTGCTTTTTTTCTTAATTGTTAATATTGCTGTGCTGAACACACAGGAGCAGATCAACAGATATGGCAGGTAATAATCAGAGTGGATGCTATTTGGAACAAAGTAACTAAAAATATTTTATTGATATAAAAGCAATAGATAAATAAAAGCAATTATGTTTGATTTTGCTTTCGGTATGCGAACAGTTTTTGGTGGTGGTTGCCGCAGCGGCCGCCGCCGGCGGTGTGTTTAACAGAGGAGGAAGCTCCGGAGCGCGGAGTGCTCGGCACAGAAGCGGCTCAGCCTTCTTGCAGCCGAAGGGTCCTGCGAGCCGCCCTCTCTCCGCTCTCGGCCGCGACAGCCTCCCAGGGGCGCAGGGCCCGGCCGCATGCGAATTCGCCATGCGCAGTGGCTCAAGGTCACCAAGTTTTCCTCCGTTTTGCAAACCGTTGCCCCATCGCCAAGCCTCGCGGTTTAAGAGCACAAGATTTCCAAAAAGGAAAAACTCAAAAGACACCAGGCGCAGGACCGGACGGAGCAAGTGGAGCGGGCTCTGGCTGCTTCTGCGCCTCCCGGACCCCTGCCCGCCCCGCTCTGCCCCACGCGCCTCGCTGCCTTCTTTCTCTCCGAAACTCTGTCCTCTCCGCCGCCGAGGGGCTGCCAGGCCCCCAACCAACCCCCCGCGCGGAGAATAAACACAGTTGACATCACTGTTATAATCTTTATTTAAAAAACTGTTTCCAAGGTTACAAATTACCGTGCCTCGAATGCAACAGGTTCCTCCGAAGCGGTATCATTACAGATTAACTGTAATGTGCAGGATTAGAATAAAAGCATAAGGGATTAGGTAAAAGGGGGGACGCTGGAGAAAGAACGCCGGAGCGCATCTCGACGAGCGGGCGGTGGAAACCGCGTAGACGCTCGGCGTCCGGGCGCCGGGGCTCGCCGATCTGTAGCCCGCTCGGCGGCTCCCGGGCCCCGGAGCGGCCAGGGGCGGCGGCCAGGGAAGGGCCAGCGCGGCCGGAGGCTGCGGGGCGATCCCTCCTGGGCGCCAGGGACTAGGGACTGGGCCCCCGGGCTCGGGCAGGCTAGGGGCCCGGAGGCCGCAGAGGCGGAGGCTCGGGCAGGCCTCCGACCTGGCGGGGGCCGCGGGGAGTGCCGCGCCCGGGACACGGTCCCAGCGCCGTGCGAAGCAGCCGGCGTGCAGCGACGGGGACAGCACGCCCACACGGGGTCAGCGGGCTTATCGGCGTTGCTGACCCGCCTTCAAGGTCCAGGCCTGATGGGGCCCCTTCCGGCGTCCTCGTCTAGCCCCCACACGGCCGCCGCGCTCTTGCCGGGCTGGGGCTGGGGGCCAGGGCCCGCCGGCCGCTTCGGAGCCCGGCACTTGGGCCTTGGCCTCCGCCGAGGCCGTGCGCCCCGTTAGGCCACGTCCCCGGTCCGCCCGACCCCTGCCCCGGAGCTCCAGACGGGCCCCAGAGCTCCTGCGCGCCCTCGCTCCGCTTCCTGTGGGGCCCGAGCTCGCCGTGCTGGCCCCCGCAGGACTCGGGCCTGCCTTGGGCCACGGCCTTGGGCGGCGGACGCAGCCCCGAGGGCTGTTTGCGTGTCCGGGCGGAGGGCGCGGGGCTGGAAAAACAAACAGGGCGGGCGCGGAGGCTGGGGGGCGACTGGCTGGGGGCTGGAAGGAAGTGCGCAGGGTGGCAGGAGAGCCGAACAAAGCCCTCACGGGAGCCCCGTCACCCCGCGGTGACCCCGGGCCCGCCCCGCTGAGCCGCGGAGCCCCGGGCCCTAGCCTGGGAGCAGGCCGCCCCGCTCCGCCGCCGCGCGCCGGGCCTCCGGCCTCCGGGCCTCCGGGCCTCCACCGCCGCCCGAGCCCGGGCTCTCCTTGGGTCTGGCCTGCCGAGCCCGCGGCCCGCCCAAAGGCCCCGAGGATCGCTCGGGCGGTAGCCACCAAAGCCAAAAGTGCGAGGCTGGGGACGGGGGTGACTCCATGCCGAGGTCCTCCGTGAGGAAACGGGGTGACTCCGGGGCTGAGTGGGCTCCCAAGTGGACCACCAAATTCGCCGAGGCTCCTGCTTCCAGGGGAAGGGCCCCGGCTGAGGAGGCGGCGGGAGGGGACTGTCGCAAACAGCTGTTCCTCATACATATTTCATTACACAATCAGATAATGCGTCCCACCACCTTCTCAATTATTCACAGATAAACATTTTCAAGACGTTTTGACATCTGTCTTAGTGCCTGCTATTAATTTAGTAATCACTGTAGTTAAAAATGTATGGGATTTTTGCCGTCGGAGCACCTCCTCTCAGGCGCGCGGGCCCAGTGTTGGGCTGCGCCTGGAAGCCTGGGCGCTCAGGAGGTGAAGACACCTTTGGAGGTGTGGCGGCCACTCCAGCGCATTGACACTGTTAATGGACGGGATTAAAGGACGGGATCTGGTTATTTTATTTTCTTGTCGAAGGTGGTGGTTGTCCCCTCCCAACCCGCATACACCGCCTCCCCCGCGCTCCCGCCCCAGCCTGAGACCCGACAGCGAAGTTCAGTCCTTTGCCCCGGGCAGCGGAAATGGTTAGCTTCTATCTAGGCAGAGGGTTTCTGCGGAGGAAGAGGCGGGCAACTCCACTGGGCTCATTTGGAGAGAGACAGAGAGAGAGAGAAACAGAGGCGGGGCGGGGGTGGGGGGGAGAAAGAGAGACAGAAACTCACACCATCACTAAGAATTGCTTACAACAACAACAACAACAAAACTAAAAACACGGTACTCCCCTCTCAAGAGGTCACAAACCTCCCCGGTTTTGCCCCGAGTCCTGTGGCTCCAGCAGAGATGACCAGGGCTTTTAGGAAACACAGAGAAACATAAATTCGCTCCAGCGACTGTACATGGGGCATTTAGGGCTCTGAGAAACCGAGCTGCTTTTCTTCTTGAGTGATGAATGTTGCAATGACTTTACTTACCTACACACAATTTTATAAATCACACAAGCTGAGTTTGAAGAATCTTGTAGAATTAATTGGTAAGCAAGAGCAAACATCTTTAACTCTAAAATGCTGTTTGTTATGTATTATTAGAAAGGCTCTAAAGAAACTACCCAAAGAGGGGAGAAATGCCCCCAAGGTAAAGGAGTTTGCTTCTTTGTGCCACAAATCTCAGCTACAGGGAATGGCAGTCACTCTGGGTTTGGGAGTGACGGTCTCCTTCTTATTCATTTCTCTCTCTTTCTGTCATGGTCTCTCCCCGAGGTGTATCAGCAGGTGGACTCTTACTAGGAAATGAGGAAAAGCAAACCTGGGGGGGGAAGAAAAAGGTGTTGGAAGAAACTGCCCTTCCAAGGAAGATTGAGTCTAAAATGATTTAATGATTTTCACTCTTTATTGTTAGAACATCTACAAGAACAAACTTACTACAATTTCCAGGAATCAAGTGTATCTTTGGGAAAAATTCAAAGGACACAGTGTTTGTCCCCCAAAGGAAAGAACTTCTTCCCTACTCATACTCCTAAGCCCCCTCCATTTCTAGGGCAACTACATTTGTTTAAAAGTGTCCTCCTGCTGTGTTTTCCAGATGGTTCATCTCTTCTTCAGGAGACAGTCCTTCCTCTGCCCCTTGCAGGGTGGTCATCCGACTTGCTGGCCCAGAACGTCCTCTTTTTTCCTTTTTTTTTTTTTTTTGTCTAAAAGAATCTTCCCAAACTCACCCCCTACTTTCAGAGAAAGAGAGAGTCGGGGAGGGAAGTGAAGTGTAAGGGAGGGCACCATTGCATCCATTGTGCCTGCCTCTCCTGCAGTGAGACCTCGGTGCCTACTGTCTGGAAGGTTCGCCCGAACTAGGCAGGCAAACGGAGTTGAAACCAAAAACAAATCTGTGTGCTTGTTTGGGCTTTCTAGGAGAGCTGCTCTGAGAATCACTCCCTCCACTTCAATCCCTACCCGCACTGGGCCAGGACAGGGACTTCTGCCTGGGACAGGGGAGGAGGGGGTCAGAACTTCCCAATATCGCACTAAGAAAAGTAGTTTAATAAAAATAATTCGGTGTTCTTTAGAGCGTTCTTTTGCAGAATTATTTTATACAAAGGGGACTGGGCTGGAAGGGAAGGCAGGAAGGTGTGGAGCTGAGCTAACCTTTTTAAAGACTAAATTTAGCGTAAGAGGAGTGGTAGGGGCAAAATCAGGGCCCTCCCACTTCATGAACCCGATTAGAGCCCAAGGTTTGTATCAGGCATTAGGTGCACATTAGGTATTAGGTGCTCACTGAGTGATGCACCTATGCTCTCCACCCCATCCTCCTTCAGAATGCAATCTCCTAAACCAATAATAATAACAAATAAACCATCCCGGTCCAAATGAACCTTTCCCGGATTGCCTTCTTCTGTGTGTCTCCAGCCCAGCTGGGAGGAAGGGAAAAGGGTCAGCTTTGGGGTGGAGGAGGTGCTCTTTGTAGTCTCCTGGACTTGACCTGAAACCTTTCACCCAGTCGGCTCAACAAAGTTTTTCCCTAGGGAGGCAACATCCCTCTAGCAGGAAGCTTCGAAGCCTGCATCCTCCATCCGCCCGGCCCTCTCTCTCTACGTATGCCCCTGTGGCTGGGCAACGGCACTGTGGCTTTTGTCAGCATCTGGACAACTGGGCCGTGCGCTAGAATGATTCTGTCTGTGGACACTTCTTTTTTCCCCAAATTCTGTTCTTAGTGGTCCTCTAATTCTACCGTGTGTGTTCGCGTACAATTGCATGTACGTTCCACGTACCGTCAGGTGACTCAGCTTAAGCCTGACGTGTGCAACCCACTGGATCTGCTTGGGGAGGAGGAGGTGTGCAAATGCAAACTCGGGGCTTTGGGTGGGATGCGAGGTTAATAGGGCTTCCTAGCCCAGGGGCCCTCTAGGCCTCTCTTACATCTTCATCTGCCCAACTTCTTCACATTCCAGGAACAGGCAGACCCTCCGACGATCGATCCTGAGCCTTGCTCCCTTCTGGAAGGGTCGAAACAGCATCTGGGACTTGTCTCGGCGAATTTTGGCGGGGCCTAGCCAAATAGGGGGGGAGGGGTGGAGACGGGGTCGCTAGGTCGCCTCGAGGCTCGAGGCCACACCCCACCTCCAGGCCACCAAACGGACGAAGGAGCCCCGGGATCCCGGGGAAGGTTCAGGACCCAACAGTGGAAGTCCCGGCGCCTCGGCGGGGAGCGATACGCGTGTTTGGGGGCGAAGCTCTCCACCTAGGCCTCGGGAGAGCAGCCGTATTTGTAACTGGGAACTTGCCTGGGCCCGCCCCCTCGGCCCCTCCTCCCGCCCCCACCTCGGCGCTGGGAGCTCAGCCTGCTGCGGGAGCGCGGGGCCTCGCCACCCCAAGCACCCCGGACCACGCCATCTCTTAGAGCCCTTGGAGTGGCCTAGAGGGCTGGAGCGGGGAGAAGGGTGGTCAAGGTCGTCCTGCATCATTCCAGCGACATATACCTCTGCTGGGAGCCGCCTCGCGAGCCCGCTCGCCTTCGGGGTCCCGCTAAGCGCTGGCCTGGGGCGGGCAGGGGTGGGGATGGGGGTGTGTGCGTGCTTGCCTGCGGCTGCAAGCGATTCTCAGATGGAGCGTGCGGGGACTGGTGCCTTCCTGGAATCCTGTTGATGTGTTTTCTCATGAGCGTGAGGGAGAAAGATGCAGACTTGCGTCTAACTTCAGGTCAGTTTGTTCGTAAAAGGCCATTGTCAGTCCGTCAGTCGGTGGGTCTGTCTCTCCTGCCCAATTGCATAAAGTGAGGCCACTTCTCCCCCACCTTCCACGCAGCCTCCCAGGCCCGGCCAAAGGTCTAAGGCCCCGGGGGGAGGGGGGGGGCTGAGGCCTGGAGGGGTGAGGCCCTGAATGTGTGCCCCTTGTTTTGATCCTAAGGCCCAAGATGCCCAGGTGCCCACTCGGGGTGAAGCTATAAAACCTACGTGGGAAAAGGGGAGTCAGAGAGCTACCCCCACACCCAATGCAGGTTGAAGTTCCAATCTCAGCGAGCGTTGGACCTGCCGACCCAGCCGGGGATCCAGATTGGTGGCGGCGAAGGAAAGGGGGATGAGGTAGTTAGGTTGATCTAGGATGGAGGTGGAGATGGCAGGAGGGGGAAAAAGAAAGAAGACTGGGTGGGGTTGTGGGGTGGGGATGTGGAGCGGGGATGGAGTTGGGGCAGACTCAGATAGCAACGGCTTTTCGCCCAGCTTTGGGGAGGTGCGTCGGGCTGCGCCGTTACCAACCCCCCCCCCCCTGGAAAATAAAGCTAATGATGTAGTAATTTAGGAGGGGTGAGGGGCTGGGCGAAAGGAGGGAGGGAGGATGGGGAACGCGCGCCCCAAGAGCGAAGGCAAACAGCTGTGGAGGCGCTGCCCAGGGCTCAGGCTTCCCAACAGGTTAGCTAGACGGGGATCCACCCGGCATTTCGCAGGAAAGGGGGGGGAGGCTGAGCGAGAGGGGGAGAGAGCCTCAGAAGAGGACAGAGGGAGGGAGGGAAAGAGAGAGAGGAGCGAGAGCGCGCGCCGCGCGGTTTAAAAGGAGACACTTACACTTCCTAATGAATATTTATCCGCAGCTGCTTCCTGCTCCCGGCTTCCCTTACCTTTCCGCAGGTAAGATCTTCCCTGAGCCGCAGCCCTGGGGGCCCTCCCAACTCCCCCAGTCATTCTCCGGGCACCCGTGGCCGGGCGGAAGGGCTCTTGACAGCCGCGGAGTGGGGGGGAGTAGGAGGGCGGCTCCGCTCGCGGCCCGGCTTGGGAGCTGCGGCTCGCGACCCCGCACTAGCAAGGACCGCGTGCGTGGGCAACCTGTGCGGAGTGGGTGTGAGTGCGTGTGTGAACGTGGGTGACAGAGAGAGGATGTGCGCCCGCGAGCGCGCGCGCCTGTTTCCCGCGCGCTCCGAGGACATTTTCCGACTTTTCACTCGGACGCCCGGGATTTCTTGCCTTTGCCTTTCTCCGCTTGCCCCTCCTCCCTCCACTCGTCCCCTCCAACTCCCCCACCCGGGCTGCCAAGAAGCTCTCCTCCGGGCTATTGAACAGCTGGCGCGGGCTCCCCCGGGCCCGATCCCGGGTCTCCCATAAAAGAGGGTGTATAGTTGGGTTTCTGCCGTAACCCCCCACACAAAGGCCGCCGGGCCACGGGGTCCCCCGCCCCCTTCCTGTCGGCTCTGCTCTTGAGATGCTGCGGCGCGTCTTCCCCTACCCAGCCTCCCGCGTCCCCCCGCTCTCTGCCACACACACACCTTGGGGTATCAGGGCTCACAACGGAGCTAAGGGTGATTGGTACCTAGGGGTACTGGGTGGAGCTTCACGGGGCCCGCCAGCCAGCAGTCCTGGGCTGGAACTGGGAGCCCGAGGACTCCCAGGGAGAGGGCGCCTCTCACCACCACCACCACCACCTTCCCCGCCTTCACCTGAGGAAGGAGCACAGGGAATTCGGGGAGGCCAGGGGGAAACCTGGTAGGGAAAAAGGAAGGAGGCCGGGGAGGAGCTGATGGAGGAGCAGAATTTTTAAATGGACTTACCCGGCCACCTGTTGGGAATCCATTTGGGGTCAGCCGGCTCCGGAGCTGCTCGAAGTGGACACACAAAATCAAAAGCCGAAGTTGGAAAAAGAAAATTCTTTCTCTGGCCTTCCCCTGGCGCTGCCAGTTAGGCTAGCAGCTCTGCGCTAGAGTTAGGCGGCTGTAGAGCAAAAAGCAGCTTTGCCAGGTCCCCCGCTACCCCTCTTCCCCCCTCATCCCACGGCTCCGAGGCCGAGGGCTCCGAGCCCGCGGACTCGGCGCTCAGGGCCCAGCGCCGGCCGTTCGGCTTAAGCCGGGACCAGCTCTCTAAGCCCTGCTCAGAAGTCAAGAGCCTCAGCAGCGCCGCCTCAGTGCGGCCTTTCATGACGCGGTCGCTCCTTATTCTTGTGCCTCGGCCTCTCTGGTCGCCCCCGGACAAAGCCACCGGAGCCCGGCCGCTCCCTTCCCGCTAAATCCCCTTCGGGGTCAATGCGTTACCAGCACCGGGCCGCGCGCTTCTCCTGCCAGCCGTGTGGCTCTTAAAGAGCCGTACCCCCCCTCCCTCCGTCCTGCGCGCTCCCCCGACCCCCGCCTCCCCGCCCCTCTCCTCTGGATCTAGCCCCCCACGCCGACGCCTTAGGTCCCTGCTGCCCCGACCGAAGCCTGCGGACTCCTAGCCCCCTCCCTTCACCTCCTCCCCTGAGCAGTTGGTGGGCCTGGCCTTAGGGCCATAGGGCTGAGTTTTACCCCCGCTTCAGGTCCACTTTCTCTCCAACATCGTTCATTCCTCCCTCGCCTGCTCCTACCTTTGCCCTTTGGATGGATCAAGGCCCAGGCACCGTCTTGCCCAGTGCAGAGATGATCCCTAAAGATCGTCAGTTTGGGCTTGAATTAGGGGGTCCCGGGATGGGAAATGGGGCGGGGCATTACCAGTTGAGCTTGGGGAAAGAAAGGGAAGAGGAGCAGACCAGGGGGACTTAGAAGGCTCTCCTATCCCAGGGCCTCGCTGGCCTTTTGGCAGAGGGTGAGGGCTGGCTGGGTGCCACTCATTTCTAGAGGTGGCCACCCTGGAATGGGGTCCTGAAGTTACCAACCTGGCCAGCCTGCTGTGTACTTGAGGGATTATGGGCTTGTGATAGGGGCCACCTCCAGAAGGCCCAGAACGTGGATCTGAGAGAAGCCTGCTTCCCAAGCCCCAAAAGTAACCCCCCTTAAAAGCCCAAGAGCTGGGTGTGTAAGGAGGGACCTTGAGTGACAGCTGTCCAGGGAAATGGGCACGGGAGGAGAGAAGGAACAGAGAGGGAGTCTACTCCTTTTTCAGAGGACTGAAAAGCAACTTCTAACTGGGCTCCTTAGATTTGCTGGCCGACCATGTCACTTGCCCCACTGAGAAAATGGGAAGTAGATGGTGGCTTTGGTCCCCCTACCTTACAGAGTTCTCCCTCTCTTCCTCCTCCTCAAGCCTGTTTTAGTCTCATCTTGCCCTAGCAGCCAGTTGGTCCTGTACAGGGTGGCCCTGCTTAAATGCTTTCTTTAAGTTTCTGAAGGACTGGAAGCATGATTAAAGAGAGACCTGAGAAGGCTTGGTTTTCTGGGGCAGGGGAACTGGGACAAGGTAGGCTAGAGCACGTTGCCTTTCCTAGGACCAATGGAGTTTGACTGTTTGGGGTTTGGGATGGAAGGGCAATGATAGTTTGAGGAGTTGAGTGTGCCCACCCCTTCTCAGATTCAAGCCCTAGCACACCAGTTCTGGCTGTCCCAAGGGGATCTCTGCAAAGAAGTAACCCGTCTCCTGGGTAGTGGAGCCCAAAGGAACTTGGGTAGGGAGGAGGATGGAAAACTGAGCCTCCCCTGGACATCTGCCCTCTGCCACCCCAACACTAGTCCAGATGCTATCTTTAAGGAACTGGGGTAAATGATCTGAAATTGGCCCTCTTGGGAGAGGTTGGTAGTGCACTCCCTGGACTAGAACCTGAGGCCACAAGTCTCCTCCCCAGCCCCTATCACTCACGACCCCCAAGTCTCCCACCTCTCTCTCTTGGGGCTGGGTCAGCACAGCCAGCTGGGAATGGTTTGTGCCCACTCTCCTGGGCCTGGCAGTGGGAGGTGTGGTGGCTCAAGACAGAGCCAAACTTCTCTTGTTTGAGGATGTGGGGGGTGGAGGGGCCTTCTGCGGGCGGTGGGGCTCATTAGGCAGAGTGGGGTGCCGAGAGGTGCGCAGCGTCGGCCCCGGAGGCCGCCTTTGAGCCGTTGGGGCAGCTTCATTAAGCGGCGCTAACAAGGCATACAAATGCCGGGCCCAGCAGCTTTCTTGCAATGCCGGGGCCTTAGCAGGGCGCCAAGCTAATGAGGGTCACTCAAAGGGGCTGATCAAATATTCAAATTTCCCCGCACGCCAGGAACTTTTATGTGCGGAGAAAGTTGAGGCAACTGAGCTGTGTTTACTGTCCCGGGCGACAATTGCTCCGAGCGCGCGGGTCCCCGGAGGCTAAGGCGGGGGGCGGGGGCGCAGGGAGGGAGTAGTTGTTGTTGTTGTTGTTGTTTTTCATTCAAAGGAAAGTAATCGGGGTCCTTGAAGGGCTTCACGGCCTCCCCGCCTACGTGCTTCACTCCCCTGCGCCCTCTCCGCTGCCCGCGCCGAGCGCCTCAGTTTGGAGCTTGCGGGGAGGCCAAAACCGCGGGCCACCGGACCAGCCCCCGCCTCCCGAAGTCCTGGGGGCTGGAAGGGCCGTTGCCCCCCAGGACAAACCGGCCTCACGGAGCTGAGCAAGGCCGAGTGGGTGTAGTTGCTCCAGCCGGGAGGCTTGCGGACCTCTTGGCTTTCCCGGTAACGCCAAGCAAAGAGTGAGTCTCTCAGGCACCTCTCCTGGTGGAGTTGAGACTGCTGGGGTTGGGGCTGATTTTGTAAATAAATGCCCAGTAGGTCCTAGTACGAGAAAGACACTTGGCAGCCCAAACGCCCTTTCCCCCCGCACCACCTGTACGCAGTCCTGCCGGTTGCCTGGCCCAGGATTAAAGCAGAGACGGTGGTGGCAATTTTGTGACCTCGGCCTGTACGGGCTCCAAGTCCCAGATCCGGGAGTCTGAACGGCCAGAGGGCAGGGGAGACCTTCAGGCCCCGCGGGCTGACCCATTCATCCCAATCTCCACGCTCTGAGAGACCCTGGTTGCTGGCGCCCCCTTCGGCGCCACCCCTCCAGATGTCCCCCAGGCTCAGCTCCCTTTCCTCAGCTGCCACTGCCTCGAGCCCCCAGAGCGGCGGGAAAGGCGCCTGGGCCCCGGAACCCGAGGTCCTTCTGCTCCTACGCCCCTCCCCAACGCCCAGAGCCTGGGAATTTGGGAGGGGAAGCTTTGGTGCTTCATAGCCCCCTCCCCCACACGACCAGCACTCCTAGACCGGGACCCCACGGAGCCTGCGCTCCCAGCTCCGCCGGGTGCTCGTCCAGCCATCCTCGCCGAAGACCGGCCGCCCCGCCTCCCCTTCCTCCCCGCCCCCCCCAACCAAGCTCTCGGGACTCTCAACTTACGGGCTCCCGGCTGCGGGCGTCGTGCTTCGGGCCAGAGCGGAGAGGCGCTGGCGGTCGCGGGGCAGCGAGGTGGGCTCCGTGGGCGGCGCGGAGCTCGGTTCTGCGGGGAGCCTCTGACAGCCCCGGGCTGGCCGCCCGCCCCGCGGCGCCCGGCCCTGTCCCAGCGCACAAAGCTGCGCGCCTCGCAGCCGCCCTCCGCCCGGCTTTGCACTCCCAAGTCGCGGCCGCCAGCCCAGCAGGCGGGGTGCGGCGCGTCGGCAGGAGCCCCGGCCGAGGCTGGGGGCAGGGTGTCGCAGAGCTGAGTCGCGGCCCCACTTGCCTCAATTCTCCTTGAGTGGCGACGGTTTTCGGTTTCAGCACTTTCGGCAGAGGGCACCTGCCCAGCCTCCCTCCGGGGCTGGCCAGGCAGCGGCGGGGAGAGGCCGGGTCGCCCCCACCCGGAGGCGGGGGTTGTGGGGACGGGGAGGGGACTGGCTGGGTTCACCCGCCCGCCCGGCGCCTGGGTCCTCGGCTCCAGGGGATGCAGTTTCGGGGTCACGAGCTGCTTTCAAAAAGTTGAACACAATATTCGGAAACCCACCCGTAGGAATTCTCCCCCCACACGCGGCACAATACCCACTCCCTCCCCTTTTTCATTCCTTCCTCCCCCGCTTCCTCCTCCTGCCCCTTCCCCCTCCCACCTCTCAGCCTATAATCCTTCCCCTACGAGAGAAAGGGATCGGGAAGAAAAGATGAAGCGTCTGTTTTTGTGTCCCAACCTTAGGGCTCTTTCTGGGCCCGCTGTGAACGACCGCCCAGAGCTTCGAAGCTGAACGGAAAAGGACTCACGGTTGGGAGCAAGCTACTTGGAGGGGAGAGATCACCCGAAGTGGGCCTTGGCGGGTCTTCCCTTTGAGCGAATATTTCCCTGCCTCAGTCATTGGGTTTAGGACCGCCGACCGTCGGCTGCCAGGGGCGGAGAGGGCGGGTAGCGGGCCCCCTCGCCCAGCCCAGAGCCTCCCTGCCAGAGTAGAGCCTCGGTCGTAGCTTGCACTTCTCTGCCCAGGAGGCCTGGCTCTGCGGGAGTCAAGGCCTAAGCAGGGCCCGAGCTTGGATTTAGGGGTGGGACACTCACAGCCCCAGTCACGTTAGGTTTCCCATTTAAATTCTCTCTCAATCTCTTTCTCTCCTTCCTCATTGAGATCTCCAAAGTGGTGTGGACTCCGCGCCTTGCCCCCAGATCTGCATCGGAATGTAGAAAAGATCTTTTTTTTTTTTTTTTTTTTTTTAAAGAGTTTTGAATTCCTCAATGATTTTTCTTCTGGAAAGGCAGCTTAGGATAATTATTTCAGCTTTATTGAGGGCAGATTAGTTGAAGTCTGGATGCTGCGTTTCAATACGCGTTGTACACGGGCCGACAATGTGGGCATTGTTGGCTACTGTGTGTGAACCCATTCAAAATATACACTTTTTAACACCAAACCGAGTCCTGTCTAAATATACACAGTGCTCAGGGGAAAGACGTCTCTGACCCCGACAAATCTGCGTAAATCACACTTCCATAGTTACAGAAGCCTCACAAAGGGAGGCCCGGCTAAAGATGCTGATTACATCTTCTTAAAAGCAACATACCTTAGAATAAATACCCATACCGGCCCTGGGTCAGGGGAGGGTTGCAGTGGCCAGAGGGAGGGAGGGCTCTCTCTATTCTATGGGCCTTTTGGGGTCTTTTTTAGGTTTGTCATGTTACTTTGCTTAGATAAATTTGTTTTATTATTTTTTCTTTAGAATATGAACAAACACGCAATGTTCAGGCCTATCCGATTCTTTGGGGAAGCCTCCAAAGTTCGAGTGTCCTTCTGGGACTAGTAGGCAGGTCCAGAGCTCCTCGGAGGAGTAGGAGTAGCGGGCTTGTCAGGGGGCTCCAGAGGGTTCCAGACTTCTCAGCTCCCAGGGGGACACAGCTGAGGTCTGGGGGAAAACAAAGAGGTGGCTTGCTTTTCAAGATAAAAAGAAGTGTACTGTTATTTGTACTGGTATTTTACTATACAGGTCAACCGGGGAAATCAAGGCTCCTTGACCAGGGGCAGAGTAAAGAGAAGCGGGTGGAATCCAATGCAGATGAAATTGGGGTAAATGTGGCCGATGGTCGTGCCTGGGGAAGACCAGAGTGCTTCTGACAACCTGAGTCCTGGGCTCCCGCTCTCAGGCGTCAGATGCTCCCCGAAATCCCGGGTCCCGGGAGCAGCAGACAGGGTCAGCTTGTGGTGGGCCCCATGATCTCATCTCTTCTTTCTTCCTCGCCACTATTAGTGCTCACATAGGCAGAAAGAGGAGGCCCGACGTGCACACCATGTGCAAACTGTGCCTGTTTGGCCGGCCCTCGGCCTCTCCTTGAGGGAAGGCCTTAGGCCTTCAGGCGTGGGGAGCCTCTTACTTCCCGACAAAATCCCCCCTTTAATTGCTCATCCCATTCAACAACTCTCCGTCCATGGCCTTTTGAATTTCTGGATCAACTTCTTTGGGGAAGAGGGAAGAAGGGAGCTCAGAGATATATAGAGAGAGGGGGGGTAGAGAGAGAGAGAAAGAGAGAGAGAGAGAGATAAAGAGGGGGAAGCGGCGAGATTAAGAGTTGCAAAGATTAAAAAAAATCTCTTTCTCCCCCTTCTCCCTCTCTCCCTCCTCTCCCCCTCCCCCCTACTCTGGCTAAGTGGTAAAACCGTCCTTACGTTCTCGGTATTGATTGGCAGGGCTGACAGTGATTGGCAGCGGTTGCCGTGGCAACGCCACAACGACACGCCGCAGACCAATAGAAAAGCGAAACAAAATGTTTCAATGCTGCACTCACTGTGGATTTAGGGGAGATATTATGAGGCTGTTGTCATTAGGGCGATTGCTGTGGAATCGCTGAATCTTGACTCGGCGGTGGTTGGCTCTCGCTCTTCTCTCTCTCTCCCTCTCTCTGTCTCGGGTTCTCTCTCTGCGCGCGCGCACCGGGCCGCTTTCCTTCCTCCCTCTCTATGTGGCTGCGCGGGTGCGTGTGTGTGTGGATGTGTGTGGGGTGTGGGTGTCCCTTACGCCCTTCCTCCTCCCCCTCCTCCTCCTCCTGCTCCCCCCTCCTTTCCTTCTCCTCCTCCCCCCTCTCCTCTCCCTCCTCCTGGTCCTCATCGCCCCTCTCCTCCTCTTCCTCCCCTCTCTCTTCCTCTCCCTGAATTTTCTCCTCTCCTCTCAGGTCAGTCCATGGTATTCCGCTCCCCCCTAGACCTCTATTCCTCCCACTTCTTGTTGCCAAACTTCGCCGATCCTCATCACCGCTCCCTACTTCTGGCGAGTAGCGGCGGCGGGAACGGCGCGGGCGGCGGCGGCGGCGGCGCGGGCGGCGGCGGCGGCGGCGGCGGCGGCGGGAACTGTGCGGGAGGCGGCGGTGCTGGCGGAGCAGGCGGCGGCGGCAGCGGCGGCGGCTCCAGGGCCCCCCCGGAAGAGTTGTCCATGTTCCAGCTGCCCACCCTCAACTTCTCGCCGGAGCAGGTGGCCAGCGTCTGCGAGACGCTGGAGGAGACGGGCGACATCGAGCGGCTGGGCCGCTTCCTCTGGTCGCTGCCCGTGGCCCCCGGGGCGTGCGAGGCCATCAACAAGCACGAGTCGATCCTGCGCGCGCGCGCCGTGGTCGCCTTCCACACGGGCAACTTCCGCGACCTCTACCACATCCTGGAGAACCACAAGTTCACCAAGGAGTCTCACGGCAAGCTGCAGGCCATGTGGCTCGAGGCGCACTACCAGGAGGCCGAGAAGCTGCGCGGCCGCCCGCTCGGCCCGGTGGACAAGTACCGCGTGCGCAAGAAGTTCCCGCTGCCGCGCACCATCTGGGACGGCGAGCAGAAGACGCATTGCTTCAAGGAGCGGACTCGGAGCCTGCTGCGGGAGTGGTACCTGCAGGACCCCTACCCCAACCCCAGCAAGAAACGCGAACTGGCGCAGGCCACCGGCCTCACTCCCACACAAGTAGGCAACTGGTTTAAGAACCGGAGGCAGCGCGACCGCGCCGCGGCGGCCAAGAACAGGTCAGTGGCGGGCCCGCGGCCTGGCTACCGTCTCTGGGGCCGGGCAGGGAGAGAGGGGTTGAAAGGGGGGCGAATGGGGCAGGGTGCCGATGGCTGCCGAGCGCGCGAGAAGCCGCGACCCCCTGGCCAGTTGGAGAAAGTTTCCGCTTGCCCTGACGCGCAGAAGAGGGACGACGGGGCAGTGGGATTCTTGACTACTTTGTCGGAGAGGGGCTTTCGGCAGGGTGGAGTGTGTGTGTGTGTGTGTGTGTGTGTGAGGTCCTGAGTGCCCACAGCCCCTGGTGCCTGCCCTGGGAGCCCTAGCCCTGCGCCGCACCCCTGCCACCTCCTCAGCCCGTCCCCAGCTCCACACTCCCCGGGGGGCCGACGGACAGGGAAGGAAGGAAAGCCGTCCTTGCCATCTGGTTCTTATTTCTATGCACTGCAAAAACCCGGGGAGGAATCCACAATGTCACGGGAAGGAAACTGAACCTGGGTCTCTGCCACAAAAGGAGAAAGGTCGGTGGCCACCGTGGAGCAGGCCTCTTTCCCTCAGCATTGCAGATTGCCTGCCCGGGAGCCCGACAGCCAGGCGTGGAGAGGAGAGGCCTTGTGTGTGTGTGTGTGTGTGTGTGTGTGTACGTGCACACAGGTGCTTGCCCTCCTGCACCCGTCAAGGAGCATCCCTTTGGTCCACTAACTTGGGAAGCCACCAGGAGCTGCCCCACTGCCAGCACGTTGGCCACAAAGTCACAAAGTTGCCCGGACTTGACCAGTCACCCTACTTGGGCCTGGGGAAGGTAGGGAGAAACATAACTGGAGGGAAAGAGGAGGGAAGGGGGAAGGGAGGAAGTGGGGTGAAAGCCCTGGTAAGGAGCCCGTGTCCCTACCTAGCCTGCAGAGGCCCTGGGCCTGGTGTACCGCAGGGAGCAGGGCCCCAACTGCTGACAGCTGCCAGGGGCTGGAGGCCAGGGCTGAGCTCCCGGAGTGAGTGAGTGTGTTTGCGTTTAGGCGGCCCAGGCCTGAGCCCCAGGCCCTCTCACCTTTACGTGTGAGCCAGTTTTTCGCCTGAGAGGGGGAGTGCCCGGGACCGGGGAAGGCCTCCTTGTAGGAACTCGGAGACTCTAGGCTCGGGCAGCGGCTGCCTGGTACGGCAAAGGGGCCCCGGAGATTGCTCTGCACAGCCCCCACATCCTGCCGCCTTCTCTCCTTTCTCTCTTGCACCTCTTCCCCACTTTTTCTGCTTCCGGCTTCTCGGTTCTCTCTGCCCCTGCTCCTGCGCTCAGCACAGGGATCCCGAGAGCAAAGCCAGCGGGTCCTACTTGGGAGAGGCTGCGGGTGAGCAACCCGCGGCTCTGGGTGTGTTCGGGGGAGCTGGGGCAGGGGCCACTGCGGAGACCCCACCGCTCCCCGGCAGCCGGTTCAGGCTAAAGAGTCCCAAGGGGCTGGGGAGGAAGAAGCACCCTGTCCCTCGGGGACTT